CATACGTTATATCTCTTTTTCAAGGTCTATTTCTGTGGAGGCTTTGACCATTCGGTGGTAGTTACCTGTTGAAAACTTGTTTTGGACTGTAACTTCTCTAAAGATTTGCCTTTTGTCAGTGATTATAAAATCGATCCTGTTCCTAGTTTTTTATCCGGGCTGTGCCAGTGTGCCACGTCCATCTACGGTTGCCTATTTTGTAGAAGAAGCTGTTAATCTGGAATAGATTTTTTTCCAGCAGGAAACAAATGATTCAGTAATGATTTTGTCTCATCTGTCATACTCCACGTCTTAGCGTTGAAATCACTACATATTATGGTACAGTGTATTTAGTGTTATTATATAGTTTAAAGCTGAAGTAATGTCATCGTAGAATTTCTCTATTTCATAATCCGTATATTTTCTACAAAATTTAATTTGTGATAGATAAAACGTTATATTTAAAACACTATTAGAAACTTTGATTGTTTCTAAAACGTAACCTTTTCTCAAATAAACAAATTAAATGCAACTTTTGTAACAAGTTTAATTTTTAATTAAACTTTGCATGACATAAATAAAGTTTTCTCATTTTCCAATATCCAACAATCAACTCTGCCTTTATGCATAGCTAGCGGGACATTAGGAAATTTTGAAATTTAATTTGTTTTTCACTGGCAAGGCACGTGTTTCATTTTCGTAAAAAGCGATCTATTATGTATTTCAATTAAGACAGGAACTCTTTGCAGACCTTTTAACAAAATTATTCGTGAAAATGTTCGCCGAAAGAAATAAGACTTCTTTCTTGTATTAAACGAAGCACCACCGCATTCTATTCTAAATGTTTAAGTCAAGAATAAACATAAAAAAATTTAATTGTCTTCGAAAAGTTAAAGGCATCATTCAAACCAAACCTAAAAATCAATATCAGCTGCTAACGGAGATTAAGCGTATTTGATAAATGATTTTATTTGTAAGTTTTGCAATACCACTAATTTATTTTGTTGTTATATCCACCCAATGTACTCGTATATCAAAGAAATAGTGAAAATTTATAACATTACAAACAGATAACGTTACAAACAGATATTCAATATTCACAATTTAAGAAACTAAGAAAGGTACTCCGCTGTTGGATAGAAACAATGTTTCAAAAAGTGTGATTTGATTAACGATTAACTTAAACGATTACAAGTGAAGACCTTTTACTTGATCTAGCAAAAAGTTATACAAACCAACATCACTCGAATTTTTTATGTTGTTTGTCAAACTAAAATATTGTGCTCCAATAGTATCTCTAGATCTTGTATCGTGATAATGGAAGTTGGAGTTTATGTTAAACTTCTTACCTTTGTTGGTATGAATTTCAATCAGCGTCTCATATATATGTAGAGTGAAGGTAGTGGCATAATACCTACATCCAGAAACAAAGATTTACAGTGTCCCCTATACTCTGCTCTAGCAAGTATCCTCATAGAAGAAATACCCCAAATAGTTATTCCGTACTGTAAATGACTATGGAATAGAGCAAAGAAGCACATTCTGAGGGTACTTTTAGGAATCAAATAAACTAACTTGCGTATTAAAAATATAGTTGTGGCACGTCTAGAACTTAAGTAATTTGTATGATCACTCCTATCCAAATTGTCATCGAGAAAAATTCCTAATAGTTTAACACTATTTCTTGAGATATACTTCCAAACGGAACTAAAAATCAAATTCTGATTTTTCTCTTCATTTAGCTTCTTTACTATGAGTTCGTGATTTTTTTACTGGAAAATTAATTTCAGTTAATTCTGTTTTTCAGATTTTATTTTTAAGTAGAGAAATTGAGCAAGATGATCAGAAATACATGGACCCACAACTCCACAACCAACTATATTACTGCTTATATTTAATAAGATGTTATCTAAACAAGTTGCTGATCTAGTTATGATTCTAGTAAATTCATTAATATTTATGGTTAAGCCAAAACTAGAAATTACATCACGGAAACTGTTCATTAGAAACTCTCTTGAAATGAGTGTTCATCATCATCATCTTTGGCTCGACAATCCTCTGTGGATCTTGGCCTGCTCTAAGATTCGTCGCCATTCTGTTCGGTTTCTGTTCAACATGTTGACATCTTCTGATTTTTAATATCCGTAATTCGGTTTCAACTCCATCTAACCACCTAATTCGCGGTCGGCCTTTGGTTTTTCGTCCTACAGGTGTTCATGTGGTTAGCTTTTTAGCAATCGTATTTTCTGGCATTCGTAATATGTGTCCAGCCCATCTAAGTCGCTGTGTTTTAATGAACGTTATGACATCTGGCTCATCAAAGAGCTGATATAATTCAAAATTATATCTTTTGCGCCACTGCCCCTGGTCGTTTATAGCTCCAAATATTTTGCGGAGTATTTTACGCTCAAATATTCCCAAAAGTCTTTCATCTTTCTGCGGTAGAGTCCATGTTTCTGCTCCATGTGTCAGGACCGACCTCGGCAATGTTTTGTATATAATAATTTTAATTCTTCTTTGAATGTTTCTTGAGTGGAAATGCTTTTGAAGTCCATAGTATGCCCGATTTGTAAGATTTATTCGTCTTTTAATTTCTTCGCTTGTTTTATTGGTAGCAGTCAATAGCGACCCAAGGTATGTGAAGTTGTCAACACGTCCAAAGGTATGACTTCCACTTCCAAAGACTGTTTCTCGTTCCTCATTTGCTATCGGATCCTTTGTAATCAACATGTACTTGGTTTTGTCTTCGTTGAGTGTTGAGAGTGTCGTTGAGAAATGAGTGTTATCATCTTCAATTATTTTTTTTTAATTTTCAGAGCAAAACACCAATAACTTTTTAAATAGGTCTAGATGTTAACTTTCCTTCCGACAATAAAAAGTTGACAAAAAATACCCATCAAGCTTTAATGTTGTTAATTCGATAATTCTGAGCCAGTGTCCAGAGAAACATAATATATTGTATCTTTTATTTTTCAAAAAAATATATTAAGCTGATCTATTTTGTTTATTAAACTTTGTGTTTTTACATGAAAAATATTAAGTAGTTCCTTAGTTTTATTCCATTATAGTTAGTTTTATTTACCATTATAAATTGGTTCAGAGTTTTTAAGAAATAACACTTTCACCTCTGTCTTCTGTCGGTTAATGTATCTGGTTTGCCTAGAAGATTGATCAAGGAATGTTTTCTGCAAACAAACTATTCACTCACCTCTATACCCCTCGACCACATTTGTTTTTTAAAAGGAATATTCTTCAATTCTACATCTGTCGTAATTTTGAAGGAATTGGATCCATTTACATTGTTTTGTTTGTTTAAAACTTTGTTTGTAGGGTTGTTTACAGTTTTGTTGTACTATAAGATTGTTTATTGCTTTGTGGCATAAATCCACACATTGTCTTTTGATGCTAGCTCCTCACTATCGCTGTTATTGCCCACAAATTTTACATCCGACCGAGGAGGTTGGTTGACATTTTGAGTAAGACTGTGGATATCATTTATTTTCAATTTATAACGTAATCCTGATTACTAATTGTTTGTTTAAGTTCTCTGATTTACTTAGTTAAATGATTTACCACTTCGGCATGGTCAGCTACAAAACTATCAGGTATTTCAGTAGTTGCATCAAGTAACTTAATACTTTCATTACTTTCCACATATTTTTCCATTTTATCACTTAATTTTACGTCCAAAGGCACTTTCTTTTCAATTACTATCCTAATTAAATTACTTTTATTTAATTTCTGCCACGATTGTCTAATATTCGTTTTTCTATGCCATGTTATACCGGCTTATTTTTTATGTCATAGTCCCATCTTAAATGGGGATTTCTTCTTGATATCTTGGCCCCTCTTAGATACCACAGTGTAATTCTAGTGAATCATCTATTGATTTGTGCCTTTGTAAAGATTTAATTCTGTGGATTATATCAATGACCTTCGTTTTCTGTCTGATCCATTCTATTCTGATTCAATATCTCTTTGTTATACCTAGCGTGCAACGCTCTATTGACATTTGAGTGACTGAGTTTTACTATTATCTCTTGATTTAGTGTCCAAGTTTCGCAACCGTATGTCATGATTGGCATACACTAATCAGTATACACTGATCGAATGCTTTTTTGATGATGCTCAAATGATGCCCAAACAGTTTTATTTTTCTGTTGATTAATGGAGTAAGAAGCCAGATTTATGTATTAATTGTGACAGGTATACATACTCGTCTACTGTCTCAAGTGCAGTGTTGTATATTATTACATCTTGGAGATCCACTAGCTCGTTGTACATGATTTTGTTTTTGTCAAGTCCATTTTTATGCCAACTTCGTTGCTAGCTGCATTTAAGTCGCTTATAAGTTTTTGTAGTTCTGCAGGAATATTAGCAATCAGACCGATGTCGTCTGCAAATCTTAGAGGTTGAGTTATTCTCCATCAGTGGATAGGTCTTTGTTCTGCCAGTTCATTTTGCTAATTATATTTTCTAGAGTTGCAGTAGAGGTGATATTGCGTCTCCTTGTCGGACGCCTCTAGTAGTGGGAAATTCTAAAGTGTTTTTATAAATATTTCATATTAGCTTTTACTTGCCTGTATATATTTGCTATGTACATCAATGCCTTGGTTGGTCAAATCTTCTATTACTGACTTGGGATATATGAAAACAAAACCCTTATCGAAGTCTATGAAGGTTAACGGACTTTTATATTCTTAATTTCTACTCATTAGTTCTCGAAGCGTATGGATATGCATTTTCTACTAGACTTTCATTATATTTTCCTATGTCTTCCTTTATACTTCTCCTTATTGTCTTACAAAGTTCTGTGTATTATACTCTTTGTATACTGCATATATATTTCGATGCTTGCAAATAGTAATGTAATAGTAAAGTAATAGTAATGTAATGTAGTATCAATGACATCTTTTATTGTTTCCTTATCTCCCAAATTGCAATCTCGAACGCACTGTAACGACAGATTAAAGGTATAAATACTTACTGGGTTTAATATTTTTATAAACTAGTTTTTGGTGTCATCTCGAAGACGAATTTTTTTTAGAAATCATTTTATCTACCAAAGAAAATGCCATAGGAAGATCTCCGCATCTTCCAGAAGCTTTACTCATATCATTGTAGTTAGTATCGTTAGGTTGGTAGCCTTTCTTTATCATAGTTTCTCTTAACTTAGTAGCTCTTTTCAGTCCGTCTGTCAGAAGCCATGGACTGTTAATGCACATTAATTGCATTTAATAGGCCTGTGTAAATACCAGGTGTGATTGTTAATCCACGTTTTTTCATGTTATTGTACAACATAAAAGCTTTCTTTGTATAACCAACTCGTCCACAAGCACCTAGCAGTAAGTTGTATATGCTATTTTAGATTTCACTTTGTCCTCCTTTACCATTCGAACCTCTACAACATCTATGTCCTCTTTATTTAATCTTCATCTAATTAATACGATCCTCAATTATATCTGCATACCGTTGGTGCTCAGATTTTGAGATCTTAGAGGTTTTTCGGTAAAATACTTCTCTTCTTTGTCATCATCTTTCACTAAATTATCTTCTTGTTGTTGCATTCAGAACGTATCAGGATCTGATTTTACTAGTGAAAGTGAAGTGACTAGTGAGTGTAGTAGTGTAGTCTGGGTTCTCGGCAGACTGAGACCTCGGAAGCCCTGAAGAAGACAGATGTATATATATATATATATATATATATATATATATATATATATATATATATATATATATATATATATATAATAAGGATCACTCAGATGAGTGGTGGGTTCAAATATCGGTCTACTAGGTGGAGAAATAAAAGACAAAGTTGATACTACTTATCTGTTATTTCTCCACCTAGTAGACCGATATTTGAACCCACCACTCATCTGAGTGATCCTTATTATATATTGGATAGACGGTCGTACTCCTTGTTGCGATATATATATATATATATATATATATATATATATATATAATATATATATATATATATATATATACAGATTGAACGAAATAAATTCGGAACATAGGAATATAATGTATTTCGGCTCAATTCTGCTGTAGCTCGTTGGCCAACAAAAGATTGTCAAATAATTATATTATAAAAAATCCCATACTTCAGTGGGCTGCTGGATTCTGAACTCATAAAAATTGAAAGCTACACATAAATCTACGATTATGCTGGCAAACCAGTTATAGTCCAGGAAATGTAGCATTTCACCTCGCAATTTTTTCGTGCGGCGCGGATTGACTTGAAATTTAACAGAAGGTAGGTAATAGCCTAAGGATCAAAATCTATATCGAACCAAAGTGCGCCAAAGCCTAGGGGGTGGTTGCCACCCCATCTCCGGGTGAAAATTTTTTTTACGCTTTAACTACAGGTTTCGATTAGAAAAGTGATTCTAAACAAAAAATGTGCTATACATTTTTTTTATAAAATGATATTTTTCAAGTTATTCGCGATTGAAAGTAACAACTTTTAGACGAAAAAATCCACGTTTTTAATCGATTTTTCGCGAGTAACTCGAAAATGGTGCATTTTATCAAAAAAATTGTAGAGAACAAATTTGTAGCTTTTAAAAAGACAAATACAATTACAAATACAATATCAATGTTCAGCGGTTTTCTTCAAATGCCAAATTTGAAAGATTCAAAGTCAAATATCGGGAAAATGATGCATTTTTGGAAGAAAACTCACAAAACCTTTTTTAAAGAGCATAAATAGACCTATCATAAAAAAATAAGGTCAATACCTCATTTTTTACGAAAAAATCGAGGAAAACAACACCCTAACCACCCCCATAATTAAAATCGATTTTCACCCTTCTGCAATTCCCTTTGTAGATGTATTGTTAATACTTCCAAGAAGTTTGACCCATTTAAAATGCTTAGTTTTAGAAAAAGTACAGCTTAAAGCGAGAAACGATTTACAATTTCATATTTTTTACCCTTCTTTTTTTAAATATGCCAGAAAATACTGAATATATGAAAAAAATAAAAATTACCAAATTGTAGCTTTTTTAATGACTAAAATTATCCTTTATTTAGATTTGTTGTACAATGAATATTTGGCGAGATATAGCCGTTTAAAGCATCGATTTACGATCAAGCACCATCTTTTTCGGGCCCTTTAAACTCACCCCATTTAAAAACCAAGGGTTCCAAAAAGATTTAATTCACAGATCCTTGTAGCTATTAAAAACCTCTACAAATCGTTTTTGAAGAAACATCTATCGTTAAAAATTAAAGGAAATACTTTAAAAACCAGTTAATTTTTTTCCGGAAAATTCCATTAGTATAGTACAGTACATTTCGGAGCATAATAATCTACAAAACCGGTATATTAGCTAGTGGGGCGTTATACATTCGCAATTTTAAGCGTTCTTATTTTGAAATCCCATACAACAGAATAAAACATCTGCTCATATGTCTATGGCTTGGCAATGAAAATATCAGAGCAACAGATTGGGGATGGTTTTCCAAAGATGGTTTGTTATTACCCGTACGCATGAACAAACAACCTGCACCCGATAAATTTTTAAAAATTATTTTTTGCCAATGCAAAAAAGGATGCGGCGTTTCATATGGGTGCAGAAAAGTTGGTTTATACTGTAACTCTACTTGTTCTGGGTGCTCAGGTGAAGGGTGCAATAACAGTCCACCAATAATTGAGGAAGATGATGATGACATAGATCACGATGAAGATGTAATTGATGACGAATAAAATTAATATTATAATTGTTTTACCTATAAATGTAAATATTTTCAACTATTTATGTAAATGTATAAGAATATATGGTGCCTTTTTATGTTGATAATTTTTTTTGTATTTAATTCTACTTTTTTCAATTTATATCTTATAAATTAGTTTATAAAAACTTCAATGTTGTAAAGGGTGATTTTCAAAAGTTGAAAAGTTGCAAAATTTTGGCAAAAAATTGTTTTCACCTATAGCACTCATAACAATTGATTTTTAAGGGTTGAAAATGTATGAATTTGTATTTTAAAGTATAAAAAACTCACTATTTAACTAATCCAAACCAAATTTCACTCATCTTAGGATTTGTAATATTATTTTACAATTTTTGAAAATTAGGGGTAGTTTTCACCCCTAAGAACAATCAGGGTTCATCAGCATGACATAAACTATAAAGCAGAGGGTGAGTTGAGCTTAATTCCAAATTTTTATGCAAGTCGTTTCAAGGTGAAATCATTTTCTTCGCATTACTAATTTTTTTATAATAATCTCTAATGAGGGTCGCTTTTTAAGGGTTGAAATATGATGGAACTTTATTGAAAAGCACGAAACTATCATTATTTAATTAATTCAAACCAAATTTTACCTATATTCAGGTTTAATATGGTATTTTATAATTTTTGACAATTAGGGGTAGTTTTCACCCCTTAAAACAATCAGGGTTCGTCGACATGACATAAACTATAAAGCAGCGGGTGAATTGAGCTTAAATCCAAATTTTTATCCAAATGATACAAGGCGAAATCATTTTTTTAGAATTAGTAATTTTTTACATTAATCTCTAACAAGGGTTGCTTTTTAAGGGTTGAAATATGATGGAACTCTATTCAAAAGTACAAAATAATCATTATTTAATTAATTCAAACCAAATCTTACCCATATTCAGGTTTAATATGTTATTTTATAATTTTTGACAATTAGGGGTAGTTTTCACCCCTAAAACCCTTCAGCGCACTTCGGTTCGATATAGATTTTGATCCTTGGGCTATTACCTACCTTCTGCTAAAATTTCAAATGGATACATGCAGGACGAAAAAATTGCGAGGTTTTAACTTTTTTCGAGCTTCAATTCCTGAACTATTTTCGCCTCCTTAGACAAACCCGTCTTACGCAAACAACTTTGTTGCGAGACAGATAGTTGAACGATATTTTATACAATGTCTATACCCAGGTATGGATTTATTTTTGTCCAAGTTTTATATTGGTCCACTATTTTAAATGCAGTTCAAACAGACATGTATTAAATTGTATGTTCCGTTTTAATTTGGTTCAATCTGTATATATATATATATATATATATATATATATATATACATATATATTGTTTAATGCTTACTTTTTTAGTTTACTTAAAAGTGAATTTTTAGATAGGCCGAGATATGGCAATAACATATTCTACCCTTCACTAAACTAATTAAGCAACGAAGTGTTAAAAAAGTTTTAGCATCATTAAAAATTAAAACATCGGCACAACCAGGAGCTGAGGCGCTGAATTATTTAAATGTGGGTCAGATGTGTCTATGGGAGAAAAATGTAACATAATTCAATAAATATTATGTGAAAAAAAAACTATAAAGGAAATACATATCTTCGGGTGAATCATACATATCCTAAGTAAATAAAAATTGATAATACAAGTGTAGTTACATAAAAATTGAAAGTATTTAAAGGTGTACAGTGCATCCCTAACAAGATGTACAAAAAAGAATCTAACTCACCATAAAAAGGTAGTAGGATATTTACACTATTCTCCTGCTTTTTAATGTAACGGGACATTTGGTGACATGTCTATCTTTGTTAATTCTGAGTAAATTTGTTTTACGTAACGGTTATCGCCACTTTTTGTTTATTGTAAGTGCCTTTTTGTCTACTTATAAAATAACTACGACTTGGTGCCTCAAAAGTGAGTGTATCCTCTGTTAGTGCTTAATGATAAAGGGTTTGATTCCGACAATAGAATCAAAAAGTATTGCCATTGACACAGTTTCGAAATCACTTTACTTAGTCGTTCGGAGTCGACGATAAATTGTAGGTTAGGTATATCGTTGTACACTCAATGACACATAACAAAAATTTTTATGCAGCATTGACTACACTCAGAATTGGGTATGTGACAAAAAAGAAAAAGATAGGATAATTATATATTTAGATCTATCAATTTATATTAGTTTCATTTGTCCAGTATTTCACAAAAGCCACCCATAATTTCTTCCAGTCTTCTTTTCCTCTTCCTTTAATTCATCTTGGTGGATGAATATTTTAGTATATCCATCCACTTCGGGCTTAAACATTTTTTGAGATAGTCGGCACATTTGCAGTTATTCTCCGCTCCTCTTATCTTAAGTTTGAACCTCGCCGAATGGACCGAGGTTCACCATATGAGACTTTTATATGATGTAAAACAGAAACCCACCTTCCATTCTGCAAGATGGCAAAGGGGCTACAACCCCGATCTCACGTTTATATCTACCAACG